ATTTCTCATGTTTTGTCATCATCAAAAAGGGGGAGATTGTAAGAGCACAGATTGTGTCTTAGTAATATCTCTATGTTTTGATGATAACATTAATGATAATTTGTATACAAGAATTATACTCTCTAAATTTGTTCTAAACTGTTTTCTACAGGCACAAAAGATTTTAATCTTAAAGAGCAAATTTGATGTGTACAATAAATTCTGAATGGCTCAAGAGCATCTGAAGATTAGAAGAATCTGAAGTATAAGAGCTTAGTCATCAAGATTCTGAAGATACAACACGCTGCATATATTATCAAGAATCTGAATGAAAGAAGACTCTGAGTGAAGAGACTCTGAATGAGAGAAGACTCTGATCTGAGTGAAGACTCTGATCTAAGAGCATGTTACGCTTCAAGCACACAGCTGCACCAGACTCTGATTCAGCAACATCTGAAGAACATCTTAGGCTCTGAAGTTTCCAGAAGATTCTGAAGACTGAAGACTCTGATATTGATTGTTGATCTGAACTATCTGAAGAATTATTTGAAGAAGATTATTTTAATATATCCGTTGGAATATGCCAGCAAATCTTTCCTTAATTGGGATAGACATAAATCTCTGCAAGAAGATTATTCCTCTGATACATTCCATATATGGTAAATTCACAGCTCAGCAGACAATTGCTACACCCACATTTTGTGCGCCGTCTCTCTGCTGCAATAGTACAAAGGACAGTACTATTTGATATTGGAAATATCTTCTCCAACGGTATTATATTCTCTCCAATATTCAAGTGGCTATATAAAGGATATCATAGCACTTTCTTCAGTGACGAATTTTGACAAACTTACTCTCAAGCGAAGAAACTCTCAAGCTCTCATATTCTTTATAGTTCATACTTTGTTCTAAACTTCGAGAAATAACACAGTTGTGTTTATAGCTTTCATAGAAGCATTTTATTACTCTTACATTGTATTACATTAATTTGTAAAGGAAGTTTTCCTTAAGAGGATCTAGGTTAGATCAGTAGCTCTTGAGAAGACTAAGAACAGTTGTTCTTAGGTGTTGCTATTTGTAATCAGTTGATTTGAATAGTGGATTAAGTCCTTGTTGAGAAAGGCAAATCACTCTTGAAAAGGGTGGACTGGAGTAGTTGAGTTCAACGAACCAGGATAAAAATACTTGAGTTTTTATCTTTGATTATTTTCTGTCATACTTATTCAACCCCCCTTCTAAGTATTTTCTCACCTTCAGACATCTTTCATTCTTTTTGTAGATAAATTAATTTTAATCACTTATGTTTTGGATGATGTGCTTCATTGCTTGAAAATGCCTTGGTTGATTTGATTTGTGTGCTATTGTGCAGGAATTAGGCACAAAACAAGAAGAGTAAGACACAAGGACATTGGCAAGGAAACTAAGACAACATCAAAACATCATGAAGTTTGTCGTGAGAAGCTCCTAGAGAACTTCCCCAGAAAATTCATCAACAAGTTTTCACAACGAACTTGCCAGCGAAGACCCCTGGGAGCTTGGTACTATTCACACAGAGGAAAAAGAGACCAAAACTCGCTGTGCGAAGAAGCCAGCGAATGGTTCGCTGGAGCGAATAAGTAGTGAAGTGCTAGCGAATGGTCCCAGACTTGAGGCAATAGGTATTTGAATAAGAATTCGCTATGCAAAGTTGCTGGTGAAGGCTTCGCAGTGCGAAGGATTGTTCGCACAACGAATATGAGGAAATGTCTCAGGGAGGTTTAACTATATACTGGCACTTTAAGTGCCATATTTGGATGTTCTCTAGGCGAATAGAAGGTTCGCAGTGTGAATGTGACAACACAACAACATGGCTATAAGTACTTTAGACCACTTTTTAGCAAAAACAACTTTTTGATACCTTTTCATAACTTTATATTTTTCACAAAGAAAACCCTAGTTCTCCCATTTTCATCATCTCTTATCCATCTTTCACCAAAAGAAGGTGGATTCCCATCCAATCTCAATTTTTCGACTTGAATATTGATTAACCTCTTCCGAAACTTGTTGCTCAAGCTACCATGGAAATGGGTGGTTAAACCCCTTTTGTGTCAAGATTAGAGGTAGCTAATTCTGATTTTATGTATTTTTTTAAATCTTTTGTATGTGAACAAAGCTTTGATTAATATAAATGAAGTTATTTGCTACATTTTGTTGTATTTATGGTTTGGATTGCTTTAGACATAAACTTTTCAAGTCTTGACCTAATTTCTTCATCTATCAACTAACAAACTCGAAACATAGATTTGGAAGTTGATATTTGCATTGTATTAATTTTAACGATGATTGTTTCAGGTGTTATTTCGAGATACCATTTAACGGTCGGAACAATAATATTCACGAAATTGCTTTAGAGATAAACGGTTTTGCGAGGATACACGCTTATATTGGCTGAAACTAAGTTCACATATTCGATTGATTGGATACGTTTAAGACGGATTAGTGAAACCTAATCTTGGCATGCTTTTTATCAAACAAGAACCAACTTTTACCTTGTTTTACTTCTTGCAAACTTATGTTACCAAATAAAAACCATTTAAAAACCCCTTTACTTAAGTCACTAAAATATTGAATGACAAGCATCGAATATTCCCGTACAATCCCTGCGGATACGATAAAAGACTCTTGACTAACACTATTTTAACAATTATGTTGTAGTAATAATTGCTCGACTTGGTCATGAAGGTCGTGTATTGTTTGTCGGTCTTCGCCATAGGGATTTGATTGTACCTTGAGTACGCGTCCATGAATGACAACTATTTAAAACCTGCAGAATTGTTGACGAGTTTGTCGATGTTAGGTAATGAGTAAGCATCTTTGGGACATGCCCGGTTGAGATCAGTATAGTCAACACACATCCTACATTTTTCATTATATTTTTTAGCTAGTACAATGTTGGATAACTAGATTATGTACTAGGCTTCCGATATAAAACTTGCCTATAAGAGGTCTTTTACAGCTTTTTCAACAACATATATATTGTAGTAGTCGAGCTGATCATTTACGAGTTAGATGTGTTCATTGGGGTCTCCTTTCCCACTGCATTCCCCTAATTTATGAGGCTTTTGCATTGACTTAGGGATCTTGCTTTCTAAGATTCGAACACATAAATGATGCTTATGATGCATCATATTGGCTAGAGTTCGTTGCGATCTAAGGATGGAGCGCAGCTACCTCGGTCGCTGCCCGGGCTCTTGGGAGGGGAGTTGTGTTTTTTTGCCTTTTAAACAGTCTTTCGACTTCAAAACTTTGATTCCTTTAACAATCGTCAGTCCCAAACCAATGGAATAGTTTCTCGTAGAGATGGCTTATTAAACCGTGTTCGCTCGGGGCTAAGTGTAGTGAAGGCTTTCTTCTAAGATTAGAAACCTTCCCTCACTAACCTTAGAGTTCTGTTGTTGAACAATGTTGTAGATACCGTTGAACAACTCATTCACACCTTGAGCGCCTAGGTTTGCTTCAAGAATGTTGAAACCATGTAACATCTCAAGTTGCTCGACAAGAGGATGAGTTTAAACTTCAAGTTGCGGTGTTTGGATAGTCCTTGTTCTAGGAGGAGGAAAGATTAAATCTGGATGTGAGCGATCACTGATGCTGTGATTTTTTTCGTCGGGAGGAGAATGAGTCGCATTTTGCTGGTTGATAGTTTCCTATGATGCGCCAGCAACAACTAGAGTGGCTTTGGGAGCAGTGGCAGAACAAGTAGCTATATATCTGAAGAGATCAACAAAACATAAATATGAAGATCTAAAGAATTGAGGAATATTAATCGGTGTAAAATTTGAATTAATCGAACGCAACTAAGCTTTGTGCTCGATTCGCTAGATCTCCATTAAGAGGTTAAGGAGAACTTCACATCAAAAACTGAATTAGGGATAGAGAGTCGTATAAAATGCAGGAATCAAAAGTTGTTTCCTACAGACGACATCAATGTTCTATTCTGGAACGAGAAATATAGAAAGATGTAGAAGCTGTGGCAGAGGAAAACTTTCAAAGCGGCAGAACGGAGATGTATCTGCAAGACTAGCACTCCGTCGCTCAAGTCAGTATGTGAAAGAGTAAAGAGTATTCAAAGTGTGTGAAATTTGTTACCTGAAATGACGCTATCCCGTATACATAAAGAGGAGGAATAATGATCTCACCATCTTTTAATCGTGGAATGCAGAAGACCGTTGAATGTGATTGAGGTGAAAATCTTTTGTAGCAAAACATACAGTAGTCCTGCAATAAAGAGAAAATTCTAAAAAATATAATCGTGTAGTTATCGAGAAGTTTTGGCCATAAATAAATTACTTCAGAATAATCATCTTAAGAGAATTATGGTCAACCTAAAATTATATATATTAAATAAAACTAAATTACTTATATACATGTCTTTTAAATAGACTAACAAATTGTACTAAACTAAAAAAAGCAATTCAAATCTAAAAAGTAATTATAGATCGACTCTAGATTTTCAATTTTATTTTGCAAGCTAGATATTAAAAACTTTCCTCAATTCAACCTATTCGTATGCTTTAAAACAACATTCTCATATATTTAATTTGATACATTCATAAAAGAAAGTTATATTGTGAACCGATTGAAATCAATCATGTTATTTTTACTAGTATTTTTTCATTTATTATTTTATTAGTAAAATTGAAAACTCAAAAAAGCAGCTTTTTGAAATTAGATTCTGTGTTTTTAACTCGACAGAAGGAGCGGAACAAAATGGCGGCAACCTGAAAAATTAACTTTCATTGAAAAAAAACTTCCGAATTTCAAACCAAAATTAAACACCGAAATACTCAAAATTTTCGAGAAACACCAAATAGCGCCATGGGTTTTCATTTTGGCGAAAACATTTTCGAAACCTCTCTTTCCTATTCCTATATACATACAATGTCTCATTTCTCATTTCACCATTCACATTTCACAAACCCTAATCTTGCTCCTCTTTCTTCATCTTCGTTTCAATTCTCAACTCTCCCTTTCAATCGAAGATGCAGACTCGCGGTTCAAGAAAGAGGGCAAACGCTGAACCAATTGTTCTTAACCCTAAAAAACAGAGGGTTGTTTTGGGGGATCTTCCCAATCTTCAGAATGCCACTGTTTCTGAAACTCAATCCAATGGAAAACTCCAAACTCGGAAGAATTCTAAGGTCAAGAAATCTGCAGCAACAGATGTTTATTCGTTTGATAATCCGGTTCAGAGAAAGAACAAATCGAAGCCTGAAATTCAACAGATTATCGAGCCTTATGCATCTGATATTTCCAACTATCTTCGCAACATGGAGGTAAATTTGTATTCTTTTTATGGATTTGATTTGTTTTACTTTTTATTTGCAATTTCTAGGTTATCAAATTTCTGATTTTTTTTTGTTTCTCAGATGCAGAAAAAGAGAAGACCTATGGTTGGGTACATTGAGAATGTTCAGAGATTCATTACTACAAACATGAGGGGAATATTGGTGGATTGGTTAGTTGAAGTTGCAGAAGAATACAAGCTTCTTCCTCAAACTCTTCATCTTGCCATTTCGTACATTGATAGGTTCCTATCTATCCATGTTGTCAACAGATCCAAACTTCAGTTGCTCGGTGTTTCTTGCATGCTTGTTGCCTCGTAAGATCCATTAATTTTTAATCATTTTAAGTTTTTGTTTATCAATGTTGTGATGTTAACTTGCTTATGCATTAAATTCTGTTTTTGATGTGTAGGAAATATGAAGAAATCACTCCACCAAAGGCGGTTGATTTCTGTCACATCACTGATAACACCTATGAATTGAAAGAGGTAAATACCCTATTCATATCTTGTGTGTATCAAATTTAATTCTTGTTTGAGCTAGGTAGTTTCATTATATTACATGTCTCTTTGTTTATAATGTTTATTGCTGTTAATGTAGGTTATAAAGATGGAAGCTGAAATACTTAAGTCACTAAACTTTGAAATGGGCAACCCTCATGTTAACACATTTCTAAAGTAAGCTCATTTCTTTTAATGTATGTTTGGATATCCAGTACCTTGTTGAAGTTGAGTTAATTGGACTAATTGTTTTATTGTGCAATTTCTGTGTTTCAGTGAGTTTGTTGGGTTTGCAACTGAGAATCAAAAGGTAAGTGAAAATGTACATGAATTGTGTTTATTGGTCATTTTAGAAACTTTTATTATATTTATTGATTTTTGGTTTGTATTTTCAAATTCAGACTTCAAAATTGCAAATGGAGTTTCTGTGTAATTACCTTGCTGAGCTAAGCTTGTTGGACTATGACTGTATACGATTCTTGCCTTCTATTGTTGCTGCATCGGTTATATTTCTTGCCAGATTTATTATTAGACCCAGTGTACATCCTTGGGTAAATATTAAATATTATTCACTTCAATCTATTTTTTTCTGTGAATAAGTTAGGTAATACATGTGTTTCAATGTAATTAATGCTGAGAATCTATTGCAGACTTCATCTCTTAGTGAAAGCTTGGGTTATAAATCTGCTGAGCTGGAAGAATGTGTACTCATTCTACATGATTTATATTTGTCAAGAAAGGCAGTGTCATTGAAAGCTGTTAGGGAGAAATACAAGCAACACAGGGTAATTGTTTTAACCTTTCTCTGTTTTAGTTACTTTTATTGTGGCCTATTGAGTGACTTGAAAACCTTTCTTATTGATTTTCTTATGCTTATTATGGCATATTGACTTGGAATCTATGTCTGTAACAGTTCAAATACGTTGCAAACTTGCCTTCACCACCAGAGGTGCCAAAACAATATTTTGAAGAAGAGTGATGTTGGTGAATGTAGTTCATTTCAGACAATAAGAGTACTTTTTCAGTCGGGCTAGAATGAGGGGAGTTATACACATAAGGGATGATAGTTTCATATCTTTAGGTGATATAAGTGGTGTTGGTAATCAACCTAAATAGCATTAGGCAAAACATTTTTGGTGGCCAGATACTTGCCATGGTATCTCTGTATATATGATATGATAACTTCATTAATAATACTTATTCCTGTTTAGTTAATGTTACTGTGTTATTGTTATATTTGTTCTGTAATAGATATGTTTGTTTTTCAAGCATGATAGCTTCAAGTTTAAACAAATGGAGTACTTAATGTGTTTTTCAATGGTGAATAAAGAACATCAGACATTTTACTGTTGAATCTGTAAATAAATTGAACTGTTATGGATCCCTTGATTCTTTGTTGAGTGGCGAAAATAACTGGTTTATATTAAGACCCCTTAAGAGGTGGTAATGTTCACTTAACTTGATTTTTAAACAATGATTGGGTTATTCAAACACTGCCAAGTGAACACATTCATAAAAAAATTTCATTCATTCATGTTTTAAACAAAATCTTAAATTGTTGATGGAAAATTCTATTTATGATGATATAACCTCAAATTAAATTGCAATAACAACAAACTCCAATTAATTTGTGTGCAAAAAAGCAAAGGATACCCATGAGTCCTTTAACTATATACATCTGACTTTTCCATATATGCCTCCACAAGCTCTCTCAAAAAAAAAAAACACCCATGACTCATTTTTTTAAAAACTTCCATGGCAAAAGTACATGGTTTCAAAGATGGTAGTTGGAGAATAGAGATACATTGAGCTCTTTTCCACTTCCATTGCAAAAGACTATGCTTTTCAAGATGGTAGTTGGAGAAAAGAAACACAAGGAAGAATAATCCAGAAGCTGAATATGGTTGTTGTGACTAATTTTTTAGTTTTTCCTTTTCCTATCCTTTGAAATCTCATGCTCTAAGATGAGTCAGAATTGAACAAATAACACAAATAGATATGACCAAGGTAATTTATAACTTGACCAGTACTTGGTATTATGTTGACCAAATATTAAAAACACAATTCTCATAATCTCTCTTTAAAGTTGCATGATGATGAATTGAGCATGTTCTGTTAGAATTCAACTACAATTTATAGAGAATTTTTAATTAATCTTGATAAACAAGATTGTTATCAATTACGCAATGACAATGAAAAGAAAAAATTGAGAAAGAAAGAAAGAAAATAAAGTTAAAGAATAATATTTTCTGCAGAGTTTCTCTGCCCATAACTTGTGGAATACTTCTTTTTTCACTTGCAACTGTAAATTCTATGAATACAATGTTATGAGTTATATGCATATTTTTCAAAATAAGGCTTATTCCTTATTTATAGATTTATGTTAGCTTGCATCCTAAGGCAAAGCGCAAAACTATAAGAGCCCAAAATAATTAACACTACTAAAATATGCCTAAGTCGAAATCCTGTGTGAAACAACTTGTTTCGATACTTCGACACACTACTACAACTCAACACATATATTTTGACACAAAGAATTACATTCTTAACACACCACCTAATTCATTGTGTCTAAACTATCTATATTCATCATAACTTAGTCTTCTAAACACTTCGACCTACACTCCCTTCGTCATGATGTCTGTAATATGATTTCCAGTTTGCAGTGTTCCAAGTTCATCTTCACTTCTGCTACCTGCTCTTGAAGATAATTGAACCTTATTTCGATGTGCTTGCTTCGATCACGTGCTATCAGATTCTTTGCAAGATTGATAGCTGACATGCTGTCGATCTTCATGGTAATTGCTCAATGACTCTTCGCTGTAATTTCTTCGATCAGGTTCACCATCCATCTTTCTTGACATGCACAAAGAAAAGCAACTATGTATTCTGCTTTGCATGATGACAATGCCACTACTGGCTCATTTCTCGAACTCCAAGCAACAAATGCACCACCTAAGATAAACACATATTCAGTTGTGGATTTTCGATCCTCAGCATCACTACACTAACTTGAGTCAGTGTATCCCACTAGCTTGCATTCTTTTTCTTCATCATCTTCAGGAAATAAAATTCCGTAGCCGAGAGTTCCTTTCAGATACCTTAGTATCCACTTCGTCGCTGCTAGGTGTGATACCTTTGGATTTTTCCTGAATCTACTTACCATACCCACACTGTATGCTAAGTTAGGCCTTATGTGACAAAGGTATCAAAGTGACCAAATAAGTCTTCTATATTGGGTTGGGTCAACATTATCTTCATATGAATCTTTCGACTGTTGCATTATGAACTCAGCTGGATTCAAAGTTGAGTTGCAATCTTACATCTCAAATCTCTTGAGTATTTTGCCAGCATATCTTCTTTGGTGCATCATCAAATCTCTACTACTTTTGTAGAATTCGATGCCAAGGAAATATGAGAGATTTCCCAAGCCTGAAATTTCAAACTCCTCACTTAGGTCATGTTTGAAATCTTCGACCTCCTTCTTGCAACTTCCTGTTATCAACAGGTCATCGACATAGAGACATAGTATAAGCAATTCACTATTACTTCTCCTTACATATACTTCATGCTCAATCGTGCACTTCACAAATTTCTTCTCCCTTATAAATTTGTCGATCTTCTTATTTCAAGCTCTTGGAGCTTGCTTAAGTCCATACAGGGCTTTATGTAGTTTGTACACCTTTATTTCTTCGCCTTGTTTCACAAACCCGTCTGGTTATGCAACATAAACTTCTTCGTCCAATGGGCCACTCAGGCATGCATATTTCACATTCATTAGACATGTGTGCCAATTATTCATGTTTCATAGACCAACACCAATCTGATTATTTTGATCCTAGCAACAAGTGCAAAAACTTCGTCGAAGTCGATTCCTTCCTTATGTAGAAAGCCTTTCACTACAAGTCTCGTCTTGTGTCGAGTTACCTCTCCTTTAAGATTCACTTTAACTTTGTAAACCTATTTTACATCAATCGCCTTCTTGCCTTGAGGCAATTCGACAAGTGACCAGATGTTGTTGACTTCGATAGACTCTAACTCTTCATTCATTACTTTCATCCATTTCGAATCTTTCAATGCCTCAACTGCATTGAATGGTTCGACATCTGCATATAAATTATAGTGTACTAGCTCACCTTCTTCATCGATCACATTATCTGATGTAATAACAAATTCTTGCAACCTTGTAGGCATGTGTCTTGTTCGTCGAGGTCTGCTTCACCTCTGACTTCTTCTTGTCGAATTTCTCTTTCGACTTCATTAGCTGGTTCTTCACATAAGATTCTCACTGAATCCTTCTTAACATTATAAGTCCAATCCCATTCCTTAAGCTCATTTATGATCACGTCTTTGCTGATCACTACTTGATTGTTCACTGGGTCGAACAACTTGTATCCTCTAGTCAAATGATATCCTATCAAGATCATATGACTTGACTTGTCATCAAGCTTTATTCTTAATTGATCTGACACATATTTATGTGCTCTATATAAAAACACCTTCAAATGACTTAGGCTAGACTTGACACCAGACCAACATTCTTCTGGCGTGATTCCTTCTAGCTTCTTTGTCGGACATCTATTCAGGATGTATGTTGCTGTTGACACAACTTCTCCCCATAATTCTTTGGATAGATGCTTGCCTTCCAACATGCTTCTCACCATATTCATGATGGTTCTATTCTTCCTTTATGCAGTTCCATTATGCTTGGAGTGTACGGTGGCACCACCTCATGCACAATCCCTTATTTCTCATATAATGCATCGAAATCTTTTGACACATACTCTCCACCCCCATCAGTCCTCAGAATCTTTAGCTTTTGACCACTTTGCCTTTCAACCATTGATTTAAATTTGGAAAATACCTCGATTAATTCACTTTTCTTCTTGATCAGGTAAGTCCACAGTTTTTGACTGAAATCATCTATGAACGTGACAAAGTATCTGTTACCTCCAATTGAATCCACCTAGATAGGACCATATACATCAGAGTATATGACTTCGAGAATTGCTTTCGACTTTCTTCCTGCATCCTTGATGAAGCTATTCTTGTGTTGTTTCTCCTGAACACATTCTTCACACACTTCACTTGGAATGTCGATTTCTGGTAATCTTGAAACCATATTTCTTCTCTTTAAATCTCTGTTATCTTTGAAGTTGAGATGGAAAAGTCGATAATGCCATATCCGTTCATCTCTGTTGTCTGTAATTGCAAGAAACTTATGCTCCATCACATTAAGTTCAATATTGAATGTCCTATTTTGAGACATTGGAGCCTTCATGATTAACCTACCACCTGAGTCAAGAACTCTCATTATCTTGTCTTCGATCGACACCTTGTAGTTCTTTTGACCAGCTTTCTTATACTAAGCAAATTACTCGTCATGGTTGGTATGTACAACACATTGGAAATTACTGACCTCTTGCCATCTTTCCTCATAATCAGAACACTACCAATACCTTTAGCTGTTAGAGTATTGTCATTTGCAAATTTCACCATATTCTTCATTGAGGGCTTCATGTTGGCAAACCAATCTTTCCTACTAGTCACGTGTGATGAGCATCTTGATTCAAAGTACCACTGATATTAGAATCTTTCTTCATCTCTTGTTGTGACCATCAACAACATCTCTTTATTTTCATGTTTCTCCAGCTTTGCATCAGTTTCTTGATTCTTCTTCTTTTCTGGACAATCACTAAAATAGTGACCATACTTCTGACAATTGAAACAATGAATGTGACTTTTGTCACGCTTTCGACCACCACCTCTTCCTCTACCCGCAACACCACCCCTTTGGTTGCCTTGGTTCCAGGGTTTTCTCTGATTTGACCAGTTTCTTTCCTGCTGATTTCAACCAGTTGAATTGTTGTAGCCTCCTCTACCTTTGTTACCGTTCCAGTTTCCTTTGCCTTTATTTTCTTTTTCGAACTGCGCATACAAATCCATACCACTCTTCGACTTTCCTGCAGCTCTTTTAGT